CCGGGAAGCCTCATTTGCCTTTGTGTAGTGCACGTTTAATGTGCCATATGAGGTGTCCTATATGTCTCTGTAAGTTTAGTGTATGAAAAAAATGCAGAAAGACTATAAAGCAGGCCGTGGGCCCTAGCAGGCGGTGGTGGCCCGGTGCTAACGTCATNCATTTGACTAATTTCTTCCCTCTTCCTGAAAATTGTAACTTTGTGTATTCAACAAAAGGAAGTAAAAATGAAAAAAAACGAAAAAATACAACCAGGAGTAGAATATGCTTCTCAGATTTGTTCTATCTTTTCACTTTTTGCCTAACGGGGTTCCTGGGTCACGATTATTGAACCTATTAAATGTTCATTTATGTTCTGGTAAGTATGTGTGTTTAATGTACCAATCAAATCATGTCAGTCTTCATGTAACAACTTTGCATAACCACTGGATAATTCGCATTTAACTCACAGTTAATTGTGAGTAGTGGTGTGGGATAATTGTTATTGATTGATTTGAACTGACTATCGTTTGAACTTCACCTTCATGCACAATCCTCAGTTCATCGATTCAACACACGATACACTCACGGAAGTACTGGACTGGAGTTTCGCTCTTATTAGAGCTCATTAGTAGTGCATATTCACCGTCCCGTCCGTGATTTGAACTCTGGACCCATCACTTGGATTTTACTGTTTATAACGCTCCCGGGCGGGTCAACTGTGCTTTTCTTTGGTGTCTTAGATTAGTCCAAGAAGTGTGCACCATACGATTTTTGCCGGGTTAGCGTGACATTTGGATATCTGATTGACTATGAGTAATCTCCCGGTGACCGATTATATTTTTTCATAACTTTATAGTGCTATATTGTTTTCTAAAACTGTTCTCTCAGTTCATTTCAGTTCTTACAACCATTATTTATTCACTTTTGTGCGCCGATTTTGGTTACTCTCTTTTGGTCGCTCATTTAGATAAAACAGCAGAATGAATATTAGAATGTTAGGATCAAATTCAAGCGGAAGGTAGCGCATTTATATAGACTGATGTTACAAGAATAATGAGTGGATGCATGAGCGCTAGTGTTTGCGGCACCCAGCCATATCTCTCAGTATCTCCAATCATCAATGACAATGATCTCGGGATCTCCAGCAAGGGAGCCTTACGGGATCCAGTCTCTTGGTTAGGGTTTTTATACTTTCATGCTGGTCCTCAGCTTGACCGTCCTTGCTCTTTTTTCAACCGATGCCTGCCTTGGTAAACATCGCTCGCCGTGGCAACCTATCTGGTAGCATGCGTGACACATGTCCCAACCAACGTAATCTATGGAGGTGGATTACTTGTTCCAGTGGACTACTGCAATTACCTATAACTCTACGCCTAATCTCAACATTGCTCGTCCGGTCTCCCCACCAGACTCGTGCAATGCTATGTAGACAGCGGTGTTCCAACACCGACAATCTATTTTGATCCTGTTCCCGTAGTGGCCAAATCTCTGCACCGTAAAGCAGAACTGGCCGAACTGCTGTAGCATGTACTTCATCCTTCACAGACAGCTGGATGTCACGACGAAGCCACAGATGTCTTAAGTTAGCAAATGCCAAATGAACCTTCTGTATACTCGCCGACACTTCATCTGTGGTGCGTCCGCCAGGTGAGATACAGCTTCCCATGTATGAAAATTTGTCTACTTCCTCATTACTTCCTCGGTCAAGGCGAGGTTGAGGACTAGACCAACCCAATCTGGTAGCAACATTTTACACTTTGAAGGTTCAATGAAACTGTTCCCTAAGCTTTGTCACCCTCCCCAACTGAAAGAAAAACACAGAGAATTGCAGCGCGGGTAGAAAAATGAGTATTTCACGCTATGAGCGCACGTCATGCATAAGTGTATCAGAAAACCTAGAGCTGTGCTCGTAACTCCCAGACTACGACTACACGCAATCAAACACCTTGTTTTTCGTGAACGGTACCCCCCGGTGACCTCGGGTACATGTCATTGTGTCTCTGATGCAGGCTGACGTTCTGTAATCAATGGAAGGCTACAATAAGGATTAGCTTTGGACGGCGTGAACTGTCTATGGCTTCTTATATGTTATGCCTAGATGTGCAGCCCCAAACACAACCCCGATAAATGTTGGGACCATCTCTTTAGCAACGAATCCTTTTGGAGTTTAGCAATTTGTTGATGGAGGCAGCACCGGAGATGTTTCTGATTAATGAGAATAGAACGTGAGTTTAATTACCTTGAACTAGTTCTGATTCACTCAACAAAAACTGAACGGTTTTTCGCACCAAATCAAATAGTTTACCACGTGAATGCACTGATTGGGTTTGGATGCCAATGTCCCTTCAATCTCCGGACTCTCATGGTTCAACGTATACATCATGTATACCTGAAAACTGTCGCGTCTGTTGGTGCTGGTGAGTTCTCCGAGCTGGAAGTGTTGTTCGCAGACTATTCGTAGTCGAGCTAGGCAACATCATCAGTGCGCCAGTCCTCAGTGGAATAGGACTTATACAGTTCGGTTTGAGGGTTTCGACTGACTGTTTGCATCCCTTTAATCCTATTAGTCAACAGCAACGGTTTGCTGTGATTTCATTGGCCGTTTCATTGTCATAGTGACCAATGAGAAAAAAGGATGATCATCATGACAACAAAACAGCGCCTGATGGACGCCCGTCTTTCGATGAGATTCATTCATCTTTTATTGACCGTTATGAACTCAGACTGCTGGTGTTCAATGTTTGTTGTAAAGTCTAAATTTCGACGATAAGTTTACAAAATGACTACCCTGCGCACACTGACATATCCTTTTACAGAGGTATAGTAATATGCTTAACGCGAGCTGAGTCCTTGTCATGAGTTAAATTGTTTGACTATCTTTAGTAGTGCTTTAAAGACTGTAAGCACAGTTCGAGATGGATCGATAACCATGTGCATGAGCTGTTCTGGTGGAGAGAGGTTCTCAATGTTTCATCTACAATGAACAATTGCTGGAGGTCTCAATTTTCATCGTGTTGCTTCAGTCAAAAAGATTCTTTTAATGACTCAAATAAATCATTCGCGTAATTTTAGTAGTTCGTGTTTTTTGCTTGGTTGTGTTTAGTGCTCCATGATGAAAGCATTGAGATGAGAAAGATTAACTAGTGGCAATAGTAAGATTTTTGCATTTCTCCGCTTATTTTTTCACCTCTTAGACGGAAACGGAACAGCTGATCACCGTACATTTGAGACTCTCATCTCCGAACGTTCCTGTACAACTTACTATTAGATGTGGCGATTCGACTATACCTCTTACCCGAGCTCAAGGCGTCGGGGAGGCGATAATTTTGAGCTATCTAATCAAGCCGGAACCTGATTCAAACACAGGTGAACAGAATGTGAATAATGATGGAGCGAGTGTCAGGGAGAATAACAAGATCCTGGGATCCGACACACGCGACTTGACAGAAACCAGAACGGCATCAAGTAAACCAAGCCTGAAATCTGGTTCCCAGGGCCGTCCAACACAATTAAAGAAGTCTACTCGGGGCTCAGTGAGTGAAACTAGCCGTACATTACGGTTGTATATTATACACTGAACAGATGGACTAAATCATACTCACTATAAATTAGAACAGCTTGTGATGCGTCTTGATGTTACTTATAGAACTAATTCATAGAACAAATACAGTTAATAAAACAGGGTTGCTTCTTATTCTGTAACTTATACTCGCCTAAAGATGTCGTACCTTGTTGAAGCTCGTCAATAGGAGTGGTTGGTTATCAATCGAAATTCTTAACAGTGAGCCGTTGTCCTGAATGACGCAGATTCCAGCATTATGTAGCATCAACATCGGGCTATGCGATTTAACAAAGTTAGGTATCAAAACAATGCACGGCTGCAATTAGTTCAATATGGTACGAGTAACAATTGAGACAACACGCAACCCGAATCGGCCAAATGTAGGAAACAAGGATAATTCATGTGCTTTTAAGGATCTAATACATCTACGCTTCATAACGTTATCATTTTAAGGGTTTAGTTTAGGGGCGTCATGGGTATCATTGAGCTATGGTAGCAGTCCCCTTTTACTTTCGTCTGTACGTATTACACTAGAAAATACCAATGTTCACCACTTAGAGTTTTCGCCCACAGAGCAACCATCACCAACACTGATGATGAACGTTATTCGATAAATTTCTGAAAGGTATTTCAACTTAATTTGAATCACATTCTATAACGTATTTCATCTGAACTGGTCCCATTTGGTATTGGTAAAAATCTGGAATGTCTAAAATTGGGTTGGAAGAGCTTTTAATTTTTATAACCTTTCACTTGATAAATCGTACTTTCATAGCCAGGTTTCAAAAAAACGAAGTACCTTTTAAGTACAACACATCAACAATGAAAAGCAACTACTAGTGAGTGGTGGTGAATTTTAGCCATTTGACAGGAGTTTCTCAAACCGAGATTACTGTCAATAAAAGTGTTTCACAATGTGCTTCGCTTTTAATTGGGGCACATTCACCAAACTCAGAAGTAGAACACATTCTTTCATGAACTAATAACCTACATGTTTACCAAACTGTAGATTATGCTCGTATCCTTTCTTTATTGGTCCAGTCAAGCCCTGGAGCCCCTTCGGGTGACAAACAAACAGCTCGACCAACAGCCAGTTCGCATTCTTCCCGCAGTCGAAGTGGGGATAAAACAACCGCTTCTCAATCCCCATCCCATACGCGTCACCGTGGTGGATCTCAATCCCCGAGTCAACCACAACAAGCACGAGATCGACGAGTGTGGATTGAAGCACACGTGGACAAATCTCAGTGGCCTCTTAGTATGCGCAATTGGTCGTTCCTTGAAGAAATCAGACGGAATCAACTTCACGAGTATTTAGGTTTGTGTACCTTCATGATCAACTTCTGGTCCCTGTACACATGTGATTGAGCTTAGATAACGTTGTATAGATTTCTAAATTGGAATTCATTATTGAATAGGATACCAAGTCAAATAGGTACCTAAATTACATTCTGTTTTGCTGAGCATGTTTATTGCTGATAATAGTTTCGATAGCCTGACAAATAGCTTACTTCTCCGCATTGGTTCTAAATCGAAAGGATGGCCTAAAGTGAACATAAATGCACCGAAAGGCACGGAGTTTGTTCGGGGCTGGCTTATGTAACATATGACTTAATGACTACAATTGTGTTTTTCAGTCAACGAGGCTGAGTTTTCCACGATTTACTGGCAAAAATAATTTAATCTGAAGAACCGAGTTTGTAATCGGAAAACAAAATGTTTTCCGCTTAGTTGCTCATCTATAAAGGGGAATGAACACCGGTAACGGTTCAAGCAACTCCGAAACAGTTTGATCAGAGATCCTTATGTTTTGACTTGTGATACGTTCATGACTATCGGAGGGATTTGAATCCACCAAGTGATACCGCCCTAGCTTTTGTACAGCGCACACTTTACCAGCTGAGCTACGAGGCAACACCGATAGCACTGATTAGTTCCCACTCAGATTACCCATTCCAAATTACAGAGACATGCAAAATCCGACAGTTATCATGTAGGATGACTGTCATGATAGTATTCCTCAGAATCCACTGGATTCCATTAAATGATTAATTGGCTTTTCACTGCTTTAAATCTTAGGCGGCGTCCATAAGTGAGTTCAAGTCCCACCGAAACTACTTAACTTTTCACAATTCAAAACGTAACACTCAAATCTGCCAAACAATATAGTTGAACAATGATGACCTACTTGATGTATACAGGTCAAAAACTTAACAAACGGCCGAATTTCAGTGTGTTTGTACCACGATTAAATGATGCTCAATTTTCAAGGAATTAACCAGCCAATGTTTAAAAATTATCGAAAACAATCTACATATTGAAATTTAGATAAATGTTTAGATAAATGTCGCTAGATGCTTCGAGGTACTTACTTGAGGTTCATATCTTACCCAATTGATTACATCTTTTGGTTAAGTGCTCACCTAGTTACAACCATTTGCAATAGCTTTGCTTAATAAAATTATCATTAAATTTTGCCAATGTTGAAATAAAGCACTGGCCATCAATCGATCAGTAATCAGCCTATTTTGAAGTGCTTTTATTGCGTAATCAAGTCGAATCGATAATGCACTCGATTCATCTGTTGTGGACAGAACGTTCAAAAAAAAAAGTATAATTTCACTTTGGAGTACACGCGATGAAAATGACATTCAATAAATGGGCAATCATGATGAAGAGCGTGTCGCAAAAGTAGAAATATCGGCCTACACTACGAGACTGGATTGCAGTTCATTTGATAGTCGTTCCCTGCAAATCAGTATACGAGTAAGATAAGAAACAGCGGAATTGTGGAATGCAGTGGTGCGGGTAAATAAAATCCTACATTAGCTGCGGGTTACAGAAGTGGAAATGGAGCGAGGCAGGAATGGGTGTAAAGAATGTGATACATCAGACAAGAGTAAGTATATATATATATATATATATATATATATATCACACGTCTGAGTCAGGAAATGGTCACACGCCCTTAAGTGTAGGTTGACGATGGAGTCGATTAGGGCCACATAAGTGATAGCTCAATATCTGGAGATGCTTTCAGAGAGTATTTGCTCAATATGAAATCCTTAGACAACAGATCAAGGAAATTAATGGCGGAGCAGAAGATCCAATGTTATAAAAAATGCACGAAAAAATATACTTAGAAATGCAATACAGCCCAGTAACGTGTCGAAGATGTAAGATCTCAAAAAACGTTTGTAACAAGCGGTGTGACCATGTGAAGTCGGTAGACAGAACACGTCCAAGGTATTTCAAGTTCTGTAACCTTTCTACGTTTCTTTTGTTAACCAAGACATTGGAACAGATGATCCGGAATGTCTAGACGGCCTACGACTAATGGCAAACAAAACCTTAGCACATTTGATTGGGTTCAAGAAAATGTTAACAACATTGGACCATTCATAAATGGAACTTACGGTTAATTCAAAGTCAAGTGATTAATCGATGGAATTCCATCGGTCAGCGTTTAAAAGGTATCAAAATGCTTCTTCCAGATCGAGACAATTTGGAGTTGAAAGCTTAGACTTGTTGTTTTGTTTTAATCTTTCGATTCCTTTAGTCTCCGCCAGCTCACGCACAACCGCATCCAACGGAAAGCTGTCCGACTTGGCCGGTTCAGTGGAGCGATCAGTAAAACCTTTACCGACTTCGAAACAGAATAGTAACCGAAGTAAGCAACAAACTGGCCGCGTTCCATCAGCCAAACTGGATGAAAATCAAGCGCACTGGAAACTGCGTATTTTGGTTGATTCAGGAGTAAGCTCAAATTTAACATTCTTGTTTCTTTGCACAGATGAAGCTGATGGTGATGGTGAGAAGAGCACCTCTGACGCGATTGAAATGTCTGCGAGTAAATCGGGCTTCAGGATTACTTGTAAGTTACTATGGTAACAAAATACTTAGCTGGAGGCCGTCATTTCAATCAAAGCACAGTGTGAGGATGAGAATGAAAGTCGATGGACCCCCGCGAATAAAGAATCTTGCGAAAGTCCAATAAAAGAATGCAAAATAAAAAGCGAATAATGCATTCGCATACTGTTTCGATTTCAATGGGTTGGACATGAAATTAGTATACTGGCGTAAAGACAATGATGCTGCGCTTTTGTATCTATATCGGAGTGTGAATTTCAACCGGGGACTGCACAGATATGCCAGCTATAGACTTTTACTCATTGGTCACGACTGTCATAGAATCCACTTTCACGTTAGCATCATGGTCAGACGCAAAATCGGGACCGATGAGGTCGATCAACCATCGGAGAAGCGTAGGATAAATTAGGGGAAAGGAAGGTGGCAAGCAAACTGCAGTTGGAAGAACATGTGCATAGGGCGCGTGAGAGACGGGTTAGAAGAGAAAGAACTGACACAAAGATCGTGGATCGATAAACTTAAATAGGAAAATTCGAAATGGGCTGAGATGGGAACACTATTGACCCTCGATGACCCATAAGCGAGTTAGCATGAATTACCTTGATAATCAACATCAAACTCGTGACGTTTTTTCTCAGAAAATATATATAGCAGGAAATAATAATAAAAATTCATTATCACATTGATTCTCAGAATGTTGTATGTGGATTTTGAAAAGTTCAGTAGCATCGGTGGGATCCGAACACACGCATTGACGCCGCCTACGCTTTTGTACGGCGCACGCCCTTCAAGCTGAGGTAAGAGGCCACGAATATTGACATTTTTGGATTCGTAAATCTTGAAACAAAACTGGTTTCCGGTAGCTTCTTCATTAGATAACAACTATATCGCCGGGTTTTCTGAGATCAGGTGCATCTAACCGATGAAAACTGTTATCATTACCTGATCGAGGTTGGCGGATCTAAAAGCAACTCCCTCAGATGGTTCTAACAGGAACGCTGTTGCAAAGAATTTATGGATACGCCGCTGGAAAACGACGTCTCCCATGTCTGTGACACATTGTGCCCTATATTGGGAATTCATCAATATGGTTACCCTGACTTGTTTACGGCCCAATCGATATAGCACTGGCGATTCCGTTGTCTGTGAACTGAACAACTCTGTAGGCGTTGTTGCAACGCCATATTTTCGTGAGAGTAATTCATACAATTGCCGCCTATCATCTTCAATCAAAAGGTAATAAAAGTATTTTCCCTGCACTCAAAAGAGAAGTGGATGAACTTACATACAGCCTTATTTTGGATACCACAGTTAGACGCCTAGCGTACGGTCACAAATCGGTAGACGCAATGTCCAAAAAGATGCTGTATACTGGGGAACTGATTCATAGGTGATTTATTCTGTGATTATTAC